GGATTAACATAAGAATAAAAAAAAATAAAAATAAAAAATAAAAAAAACCTAATCATTTTAAGGCTAAGAAATTTACAGGATGAAAAATTCAGCAATCCAGTGCCTATAGCTAGAGAAACAGTTGCTAGAAAGTAACAACCAAGCAAAACCACAAATAATAAACTATATGTTTATTTCTGTGTAATAGATGCTCTTCCTTCCAGAGGGATAGTATGATCTAGTGAAAAGAGTTTGACCCATGTAGCCAGGAGAACCTAGGTTTATAATCCTTGCTTTCTCACTCACTAACCTTGGACAAGATAGCCCACTCCCAAAACCGTGCTTCCCTTGTTGTATGAAATTGGCATAAGAGCAACACTTACCCATATGGCTGTTAGAAGCTTTAAATGAGATAAAGTATTTAAAGCATTTAGCCTCATACCTAGCATATAGTAAAGAATAATTGTTATTTTTGTTTCCCTTGAGTTTTTGGTAATAACTAGATAGTAGTTCTGGTGGGAGATCATAATGCAGCAATTTTTTTTGTTGCTCATTGAAGGGAGAGCCAAATGCTCTGTTTGCCAGGCATAGAAGCAGCATGGCTGACATTGTCATCAAAACCTGGAGGCATATCTTGAATTCTCATTCAGATAAGTGGAGGTGGGGGAAGTCACCTAATGTCCGCACAGACCTGGATTGTAGGGGTGGAAACAGAATTCTTTATGTGACCAATCTGAAGCTAAATAGTAACTGTAACCAGTGGTGAAAACAAAAATAACCAAATCCATCCAGAAGGAAAAATTATTTCATGTTCTTTGATCATGGTCTTGGAGAATTGTTTGATGTACCTTCTACCCAGAAAGCTATGCAGAATTCAATTTTATATGTAATTCATTGGTGTGTTTTCAAAGCTATAATAATAACACTGAATCTTGGAGTATTTCATAAAGCTGTCTTTCTAATCTTAGCTGATGTAGTAGAACATATTGAAGGCATTATTGACCCTCTAGTAGCAAAGAGAAAAAAGCATATGGTCTTTACATAATAAGAAAGATGTTTTAAATTCTTTTCAGACTTCTTTGGCTCCATTGCCCTGCTATGTTTATCTTATTGAACATCCTTCCCTCAAATATGCAACCACTCGTTCTATAGCCAAGTATCCTGTTGGTAAGTCATAATTTCCATTGTCACAACTGCACAAAATATGTCCTAGGTGAAACTCTGAGAAAATTATTTTTTGAAGAATATTTATAGCTACCTTGCTTATTATTATGGCTTATAACTGTCAATTAATAAGCAAACTAACTCCAGACAGGCTCTAATTATACCAAATTTCCTCAATTTCATTGAGCAGCTTTCTGCATTCCAGGAGAGAAACAGTGAGCTGAGGGAACTTGAATCTTTTATAATGAGCAGTAAACATGCCTACCTTTTGTGTCTAGAAAGAGATCATCTCCATCTTCCAAGACTGTTGACTATACAAACATTCTTGAAAAATAATCTGGAACTAAGGCAGTCAGTGTCTTGCTGGCAAGACATGCAGAAACACAAAACACCCATGAAAAATCTTCTCTCAACATTCCTCTTAGCACTTGCTTTGCATTCATGTCTCCCATAAATAGTTTGCTATCCATTCACTTATTTGCCCTGAATGTTACTAGGCTGTGAATTCATCTTTACCTTCTAGCAACTTCCAATATGGAGGCTTGCACACTCAGACAGTCTCTTTTTTCTATATTCCACTGTCTTCCTGAGTGACCTACTAACATAATTGTTTGCAGATATACTATAATCATTAAAATTGCTGTCATAACTTAAAATCCTTTTTTGTTAGATCTCAGATGGTTTTAACCAAGAGCAATTTATTTTTTTTAAGATTTTATTTATTTATTTGACAGAGAGAGACACAGGGAGAGAGGGAACACAAGCAGGGAAGTGGGAGAGGGAGAGGGAGAAGCAGGCTTTCAGCCAAGCAGGGCTCCTGATGCGGGGCTCAATCCCAGGACCCTGAGATCATGACCTGAGCCTCCCAGGACCCTGAGTTCATGACCTGAGCTGAAGGCAGACGCTTAACGACTGAGCCACCCAGGCACCCCTAACCAAGAGCAATTTAATTTAAAAACAAGTTGCCAAACAATGTAAGCAAATTTAAAGTTATCTTGGTTTTTCAGTTGTTGATAATTTGGTGCAAAATCAGGGATCTCTTGGGCCAGGCTAAATATCCAAGTATAGGTAATTATTTGAAACAAGCCAAATGCTTAACAATAAAGGATAGAGATCCCATATCTCTGGGACACCAAATAAATAAAAAGATTTCCACACTTTGAAAAAGCAATCTTGGTCTATGATGTTTATGGGACAATGCTGCTCTTAGCTAGAATTAATATCTACCAATATGTTTGGCCCTAAAAAAATAGAGCCAAATCTTTCAAACATTTCAATATGAGAGAGTATTAAGATCATCATAAATAATTAGAAATATTATATGTTCTCCTTGCAACTTTGTTCTTTGGAATATTTTTATACCATCCACTCATTGAGGGAAAAAACAAGATCAGAGAGAAACTATCTCCAACTCAACATTTTATTTTATTTTTTAAGAAGATTTTATTTATTTATTTGGAGGGGGAGAGAGAGAGCGAGCAAGGGGAGGGGCAAAAGGAGAGGGAGAAGCAGACTCCCCGCACACAGAAGAGAAACTAGACAGAATTTTCTACTAACTGTCTCAGATTGACCATGGCCTCACTTTAGACTCAGAAGATTTAATTTTATGACCATTACTTCTTCAGCTCCACTTAGGACTATGCCATGGCCATTTTCTACAAATTTAAACATTCTTCTCTGACACAGGATCTTGTGTCAAGGTTAATTGCTGGTTTAGAAAATAAGGCCACCCTATTATCTTCCACTCACAATCAGAAAGGAAAAAACCCTGGGCGCCTGGGTGGCTCAGTTGGTTAATCGGCTGCCTTCGGCTCAGGTCATGATCCCGGGGTCCCGGGATCGAGTCCCGCATCCAGCTCCCTGTTCCGGGGGGAGCCTGCTTCTCCCTCTCCCTCTGCCTGCTTCTCTGTCTACTTGTGCTCTCTATCTCTTTTTTTTTAAAAAAAAAAAAAAAAAGAAAGGAAAAAACCCTTCAATAACTGACTCTTCTGGGTCAAACACCCACTCCTAGCCATCATAGCTGCTCTCCACATAGGACTGCCCACACCCCACCTTCCATCTGCCCCCAAAACAAGAATATGTAGAATATTTTTTTGGCTGCAAGAAGCTCAAATGGCTTAAACAATAGGATAAATTTATTATTTTACATTAACAGCTCAACAGCATCATGAGGGGCCAGGTTCTTCTTATCTTTCTAGTGTACCATCTTTAGCATTTTTTTTAGCAGTCCCATGGCTGCAAGATGTCCACTGTAATTTTAAGCATCATATGCCAACAAGACAATAGCTAGTGGGTGAAAGAAAATTCTTAGGAACTCCCCCGCAGACCTTCTGTTATAACCACTTGGTCAGAACTGGGCCACGTATCCATTCTTAAATCAATCACTAGGGTAATGGGAGTACTCTGATGACTTTTATTATTCCACATTTACACCTGAGCCAGAGAAAAGTTCCCTTACCTGGAAGATTGGATACCCAACCAAAATCAGGACTCTGTTAGCAAGGAGGACGGTGGAATGGCTTTTGGATAGGCAGCCAACAATGTCTTCCACAACACCCATGTAGACATATCCTTGAACATGTTTCACACGTCTGTACAAATCATTTATACACAAGATGCTTACCTCAGCCACACGTATTATACCACATACTTAAATATATGTCCAAACGTGTATACAAGAAAGCTAAGCAAAAGAAATAAAAAATGTAGATTAAATACAGAAGGATTTTGTAAATGAAGAAATAAGAGAAGTGGGTGAAAATAGAATGGACGAAAAAGAATGTATATGAATGCATATAAATTGGCTGGAAGAGAATAGATGGTACTATACTTGGTAAATGGTTTAAAAGTGGAGGAGGTAAGGATTGGAGGGATAACTGTATGGGATACTGGAACAGGGGGAAGTGACTAGATATTTGGTTTAGAGAGTATTTTGTAGGTGTGAGGGTGGATTGGCACTGGTGTGAAAAGAAATAAATACAAATTTATTCTAAAGAAAATGAAAACTATCGCACTCTCATGTCAGGATGGGTTGTTACGTTAAGGGCAAGAATGTTGCTCTAGGGTCACATATATTGTCATGTTGACTTAACCGCCACGGCTCTAGATTTCTGTGACTTAAATGGATGACTTTCTTCCTGTCAAAACTAAATATTAGGTCTATGACAGTTTCTCTTTGTGGCCACCTATTATTTTGTCAATATAAATTTTTCTACTCCATTTACTATATTATGATATTTAAATACTTTGACAATATTGAAGGAAATTTAAAGAAAAATGACCCCAAGATTTTACTACTCTAATATCACTCTTTGATATTTTCCATGTTTTCTCCCAGTCTTGATTCATTATGCTTATAACATGTACATGCAAATGTTCTGCTTTTATTTTTTGCCTAACATTGTCTCAAATATTTTCCATGATGCTACATGGTCTACCCTTTAAATTATTTTAATGGTGGTATTATAGATCTTTATACATTAAAATGTTCAATTTTATAATATATTATAATACTTGTTTTATAAATGTGACGATTTCCCCTTTTGTACCGAGGTATAGAAGTTGGTCCCCAGCCTCAAGGGGTTCTGAGAGCTGATATTTTGGATCAAATGAGAAAAATGATTAAACACGCTCTTGATTTTATACAGAATTTCAATGAAGGTAAGTAGGAGGTAGGAATTGTTTCCTTGTTAGTGTGTGTGTGTGTATGTGTGTGTGTGTGTGTGTGTGTGTGTTTGTAGATAGAAAAGGGAGCTGAAATGAGCACACATAGTGACTTAACCACTAAGCACTGAAATAGCAATTGTCAAATTTGCCATGTTCATGATAGTAGTTGCTTTTTAAAAATGTTATTCACTTCAGCCATTCACTCTACTATCTGCTCATTTATTTGGTAACCTAAAACTGCAGCAAAAAAAAGTCTATTAAATATTAAAATTACTAAAAAATAAATGTATTTTTTCTTTCAAAAGAATATTTTATTTATTTTTTAATTTAAGTTCTATTAGCCAACATATAGTACATCATTAGTTTTTTTATGTAATGTTCAGTGATTCATTAGTTGCATATAACACCCAGAGCTCATCACATCACGTGCCTTCCTTAATGCCCAACACCCAGTTACCCCATCCCCCCTCCTCCCTCCCTTCTGCAACCCTAGGTTTGCTTCCCGGGGGGAGTCAGGGGTCTCCCATGGTTTGTCTCCCTCTCTGATTTCCTTTAAAATTTAAAAATAAGGTATAATTAAAATCAAAGAGACGTGAAACTAATATAACACTGTATATTAACTATCCTGGAATTAAAATTTTAAAAACTTAATAAAATTTTTAAAACTTTAAAAAATTCCTAGAAGAAAGAGAGAGAAAAAAATCCTATTTAAATAACTATTCCAGAAGGCTGAATTGAAATTGTTGTGGAGTGGGTCATTATAGTGACAAGGCTGGAGAATAATAGTTCAGTGTCATGGGGCATTTAATAATTCCTTAATGTCAGATTGTGCACCCTACTGAAATCACAGGTATTTCTTTTGTGCTTGGGAATTCTTTGACTCCAAAGTCATAAAGACTGAAAATCAGCTTTTTATCACCTTTGTCTGAGGACAGGGTCTATAGCATTGAATGGACCTGGGGTTGGGAAGGTCACCACTAATTCACAAGAAACCCTTCAAATAATAAGTGTGGGACTACAATACATTAAGAAATGACGTACCCAAGTAGAAGGCCACAAACCTGAGTGGAGAAACATGATTTCCAAATCAGAGTCCATAGAATCCTACCCCAGGGGTAGAGATCTCCTAGCTGCCCAGTAGCTCCAGAGCAGTTCTGCTTTATTGCTCTTCCATGTAACATTTCACTTAAGCAAAGGATTCTGCAATTCAAAAATGTTAAACCGCTATTAATTTTGACTTTCTAGTTTGGTGGATTTCTAACTAACATGGAAAGAGCACCATTATCCAAAGAATGCTGACAAAGAGATAACCACCTAGAGAAAAATCTCTAGAAATGTGCAGAAGAGCTCTATCCTTGACTCTGTGTTACTCAAAATTATTAGTAATTTGGATAAAGATATATGTGACATGCTTATATATAAATGAAAGGTGGCAGGAAGCTTGCAGGAAAATATTTGGGATCAGAGGGTGGATCCAAAAAGTCCTGACTATCTTTAACAATTGTCTGAAGCAAATGTTTTAAGTTAAATACATTTCAGGTACAAAGTTTGTTTTATGTTTTGTTTTTTTTTTTTTCCCATCCCTTTGCCCTGTTTTTTTTTTTTTTATTCTTATGTTAATCCCCATACATTACATCATTAGTTCTAGATGAAGTGTTCCATGATTCATTGTT